TGACGTCTGGAGCAGGCTGCACTGAGGCGGGGCCCGGCTCTGTGCAGCCTCAGCCAAGGTTGCTTCAGACAACGGAGGAGCCACAGGGCCCGGGAGAAGCCTGCGGCGTCCTTGGTCTCATTCTCTTTTTAACCGACACTGTGTTCCTGGAGGTGCCCCTTGGGTAGGTGTCAAATGCTGGATGAGTCCTGGCTTTGCCACCCCTGGCTGTGTGACTTGCCACCTTAAGTCCCCTCCCTGGGCCTCTGTGTCCATAACAGCAAAATGGGCAGATTGGGTCTGGTGACCCTAACGGTACTTTTAGCTGCTCTAAGAATCGATGAGGCAGGCATTCCGGAGCTGGCAGGGTCCCCTCCTGATGGCAGTGGAAAGAGGTCACCTGCTCTGAGTCTCAGGGACTAGCTCACCTACGAGGCAGGCACTCTCTTCTCACAGAGGCAGCCCGAGGTGACCTGCGCACACCTGGCCTTCAGTCAGGTTCTGTCTGGCCTGCACAGGAGCAGAAGTTAATTGTGTTTCTTACTTGAATACCAGCTCTCCCTCCCTTTCTCGCTCTCCACTCCCTGCCAGAATCTCCTGGGGTTACCTCCTAAATAAAGGGCTCATCTGTTGTTGGAGAAAGCATGGTGTCCCCGGTTGTGATACCCAGAGAGGGACACAACCTCGCGAATGCAGCGCCTGTCCGGGAATGCGTAGCCTCGATCCAAGCACGAGGAGACATGGAGCAGTTCTATATAAAGGAGGGTGTCTATGTGTCCAAAAGCTCAAGGTCATCTACGTCAAAGCAAGGCTGGGGACGGGTTTAGATCACAGGAGACTAAAGAGACAGGACAAGTAAATGCAATATCTGACCCTATGCTGGGCCCTGTCCTGCGGGGAAAGGCTATCGAGGATATTACTAGATAAGCTGACACAACTGGAACAGACGGTAAATTAGATTAAACTATTGCATCCAAGTTAAATGTGCTGACGTGGATGATTGCACGTGTTTTACAAGAGAATCTCCTTAGGATCGGGCTTTCCTGGGCTCTCGGTCTTATAATGAAGGGCCTGGTTTACTTCAGAGCTTCCTATCCTTTCATCTTGAGGGGGAATCATGCATTCCTTTGAGAATCGATGAAGTCTCTGGACACTGCACTTTGAAACAACGTAACATGCACATTCTTTGTTGCGGGTCATCTCCAGAGGTCACAGAACCTCACGGGAACCCTCAGCTAAGAAGCCTGGGGCGGGTGGTCTGCGGATAGGCCTTCAGTTACCACGTCCTAACGTTCTGAAAGCAAAGGGCATGACGCAGTCAACTTACTCTCACATGGTCCAGAAAAGCATGCCCTGCATGTATAATAAAAAATAGAGAGCGAGCAAATGATAAAGCAAATGAGGCAACACGTTTTAAAAAGATGTGTATTCAAGTGTTCTATGTACTATTTTTGTTCTTGCAACGTTTTTGTGTGTGTGAGTTTAACATCTTTTTCCAAATAAGATGTTAAAAAATCACTTGCCTGCCTGGCCAGTGTGGGTCCATGGCTGAGTGTCAAGTTATGAATGAGGTCACAGTTCAATTCCTTGTCAGGGCACATGCCCCGGGTTGCAGGCTGGATCCCAGTAGGGGGCGTGCAGGAGGCAGCCCATCAATGATTCTCTCTCATCATTGATGTTTCTGTCGCTCTCTCCCTCTCCCTTCCTCTCTGAAATCAATAAAAATATTTTTAAAAAATCACTTGCCTGGTGCCTAAATATCATTCAATAAGTGGTGCCCATTATTAGCATTTCAATACGAGGACGAGGAGGCAGGGAGTTTAATGGTGAGAGGGGCAGGCAGCTGAAGCAGGAACAGCCATGCAGCCAGGTGCTGAGGGGCATGGGGTCAGGGTGGGGTGAGGAGCTCAGGTGGGGTGGGTAGCAACGTGGCAGGCAGCTGTTTTACAGAGATGTCAGTGAGCTATTTAAAGTTCAACGACTCACTGATTTTTGCTAAGGGAGCAATTCTATGGATAGTCAGTGGCCATAGTCTGTTTTTCCTGACCTTTCTCCTTGTTCTTACCTGCCCTTCCATGGTATAAAATGTTGCAATGAACTGTACTTCCCAGAATCATAGACTGTCCATGCTGAGAGGGCCTTTAACCACCATCTCATCCACCCTTTTCATGGGATCAATTTCCAGGCCCACCGTTATACACTGAAGGAAGGGTGAGAGTTGGTACCCAAGATATCCCAAGACAACCCTATCTACTCTGCTCAGGAAAGCATGGCAGAGTGTTGTTATAATCTTGTCTTGACTATTTTCTTTGAGGGTTTGGGTACGGTGTCATAGGAGCCTCAGAGCTGTAGCATGATATACTACAAAGAGTGTCCCGCTGGGAACCAGGAGACTTGGCCTAACTCAGTGGTCGGCAAACTGCGGCTTGCGAGCCACATGCGGCTCTTTGGCCCCTTGAGTGTGGCTCTTCCACAAAATACCGACTTCTGCGCATGGGCCACAAAGTTTCAATCACACTGTACGTGCGTGCCCACACGTGGTATTTTGTGGAAGAGCCACACTCAAGGGGCCAAAGAGCCGCATGTGGTTCGCGAGCCGCAGTTTGCCGACCACGGGCCTAACTAAATGAACTGGCTAGGTGGCCTCGGGCAGGTGGCTTTTTCTCTCTGAGCCTTGGTCTCTCCATCTTAAAATGCAAGAGGTGATCTACTTAAGAACATTTTTATTCTTTTTGTGGGGTCATGGATTCCTTTGAGGATCTGACTAAATCAATGGACACTATTTCAAAGCTGTGCACTTTGAAATGCATAATCTCCAGAGGTTCACGGATCCTCATGGAAACTCTCTGCTCAGAATGTCTTCCGACAGGCCTTCCAGTTACCAATTTCTCAAGTCCCTAAAGCCGTCAAATTAGAGTCAGTGGGTAGAGCCCCTCTTGCATTGCATTGAAGAATTAACCCATCCATTCCCAATTCACTCTTTAGGCTCAACTCTGGCCAGAGAGATGTTGAAAAAACATTTTAAAGTTATGTCTTAGAGATGTACCAATGCAACATGAAAATGGCTTGAAGTAAAGGCCATCTGCTCTTTGCCTACAGCTGGCAAATTTCTCCCTTTGGTTACAGTCACACCCATTGGCCTCAGATAAAACAAGCCCTTCTGGGAATCACAAGACTCCTTCCAGCCAATAGGGGTAAAGAGACTGCCTAGCAACTCGCTTGTCATCCCTACGATATCCAATCAGCATGAAGGAAAGTCTGCTCCAGGAGGCTAGACTAGAGCCCCCCCCCGGAACATTACTGGGAAAAAAAATAGGCCATTTAATTAAGCCCCACATATGAGCAATTGATTCCAATTTTCCACTTATAATTTAGTAAATATGTCCACTGAGTGTGTACTAAGAAACTACAGGACCTCGTAATGTTGGTGATGAGCTCACCTATTTTTCTTCCAGTCCCTGCACATTTTTGTTAAGATACCTGGTATAAAAAAAAAAAATGCCTGCTACGTAGCACAGAGGAAAATGGAGATGCCTGGTGGAAGTCAGTCCCAGTGATAGGCAGAGCTGGAGCGAGAAGTAGCCAAGTCACTCATGGGAGGTGCCATTGAGATCTCTCCCAGGTGTGCTTTGCTGGGAAACAACAGACAAGATGCCAGGATTTTCATCACCGTGTACCATGAATAACTCACAGGAGGTGGGCCCTCGTATCTCACCTGAATTACTCAATTGTTCTCTGTTCCAAACTGGTTTTCCCACATCCCATCCAATCATCATCACCCACTCCTGCAGTCCACTCACATCACTTCTTCCTTCTGCATTTCCAACATCTCCTTTCCATTTACCAAAACTTCCAAATCCCCTGCACAGCACCCACAGCCCACCACCTTCTCACCCCACCCCACCTTCCCAGCTTTGTCTCCCAAACATCCCTCCAAACTCAACCCTTCCTGTGTCTCTGTGAAGAACCTCTGTGAGCCCAATGCTCAGAATTCATTGCTCTTTCCTCTCTGGTCTCACTCAGCGTGCACTGCTTTTATCTCGAATGACTTGGTCCTACATCTGCCTCCTGACTGCATGTAAAGGGCCAAATCTGTTAGTGAATGAATGGATAAATAAATAGATACATTTAAATATAAGCTAAGGGTGCCTGTCCTCTGGCATCAAGGGCTTGGTCCAGGGGGCCGGTGAGCGGCAGATCCTAAGACTGCCCTTGTTTCCACACCGTGTCCCTGATGGCTTAGCGGAGGGTGGAAAGCCTAGGTCCCCACAGTGCTGGAGGAACCAGCAGCAGGAACAGACCTCTCAAGGGACAATGCAGAGCCCCCCAAGAGTTTGCCTTCAAGGCCAAGGACTGGATAGTTGGAGAATGTCCCACCAGAAGTCCAGTTGGCCAAGGAGGTCCTGCTGTGCTGGCAAGTGGCACCCCTGCCCAGGTCCCAGGCAACCCAGGAAGGATGGCAGGCTTGCAGCCACGGTGCCATTTAACACAGAGAACGCAGAGAGGCCAGTCTGTCCTCTTGGATAAGAGCTTCCAGAGCCGGGGGAAGGTGGCTACACCAGGAAACCATTGGTAGCCGTGAGCAGAAGAACTGTTTGCAGTGACTGGACCCTCCACTCCAGTTCCTGGCGCTGGGTGGCCAGGAAAGAGGGTCTTTGGGGATGGACGGACGGGACTCTGTAGGCTCAGTTCACAGGAGTCTGGACCCCAGCATGGGATGCTGGAGACTGCGGGGAAGGAAATGAGAATGGAGACTGACTTACCCTAGCAACACTAGGTGTGCTGAGGGAGGGGCAGGGAGAGGAGAAAAGACAAGTAACCTGGATAAGGTCAGCCTGGATCGTGGTGACCACAACCACCCCAGTTTTGTCCTTGAGCCCCTCTCAGCTTCAGAAGCTGCCCGGAGCTCCGGAAACGTACCACCATATGGTCGATGGCGGCTGTTCTCCAGCCCATGTCAGCCGAGGCCCATGGAACGAAGTCCTGGATTGAAGTCCTGGCCTGTTCATGGGGGTTTTGAGCTAAATGTATTTGATGGGGGAGGTGGGTCCCTCCAGGATCAGGTCGTCCACATCACTCAGGAGCTCGCGCTCACTGGCTGTGGCGACATTTTGCAGGTGGCGGAGGCGGGCCTGGAGCTGCTCTTGCTCCTTCTTGAGCTCCAAGTAGGAGTGCGAGAAGGTGTGGAAGATGGACGTGGCTGGGAAGGCCATGATGAGGATCCCACTCAGGATGCTGCTGAGGGCCACCACCTGGCCGGGCACGCTACGCGGGACCATGTCTCCGTAGCCCACCGTCGTCATGGAGATGATGGCCCACCAGTAGGAGGCCGGGATGCTGGTGAACTCCAGGACCCGCCCGGACTCGTTCTCGGCCACGTAGACCAGAGGGGAGAAGAGGGTGATGGCCACGCAGAGGAAGAGGAGGAGCAGGCCGAACTCGCGCGTGCAGCGGCGCACGGTGAGGCCCAGCGTCTGCAGCCCCAGCGAGTGGCGCGCCAGGCGCATCACGTAGAGGATGCGCAGCGCCCGCAGCACGCGCAGCAGCAGCCCCACCTTCTCCAGGTAGAAGCTCCCGCCAGGCCGCTCGTCGTCCTCCTGGGGCTCCTCGGACACCACCAGCGACACGTAGTAGGGCGAGAGGGCCAGGATGTCGATGATGTTCAAGGGCCCTTGGAAGAACTGGCACTTGTTGCGGGCCTGGACAAACCGCAGGCAGAACTCCAGGGAAAACCACGCCACACAGATGGTCTCCACGATGAAGATGTAGTAGCACTTCTGAGAGCACTCACCCTGGAGAGGCGACAGAAAGCAGGGTAGAGCGCGCGGCAACAGCACGGGGAATGGGGGCAGTGACCATGCCGAAGGGCGACTCCATCTGTCTATATGGACAGCAATAGCCATAGATGTTTATGGAATATTGATATATGGAATATTGATATAGACATCGATTCCACATATAGATTCTACATATTAAATATACTCTATATAGTCTATATGTACTATATACTCTCTCTTTATTCTTTGTTGTTGTTGTTAATTCTCACCCAAAGGTTTTCCACTGCTTTTTAGAGAGAGTGGAAGAGAGAGGGAAAGACAGAGAGAAATATCAATGTGAGAGAAACACACCGATTGGTTTCCTCCTGAGTGAGCCCCGACCAGGGCCTGGGCCGGGGAGGAGCCTGCAACTGAGGTGCATGCCCTTGACTGGAATCGAACCCAGGAGACTTCAGTCCGCAGGTCGCTGCTCTATCCACTGAGCCAAACCAGCTAGGACTTTATATAGTATCTGTTTATCTCAATTGAGCTGTGCTGTAGACTCTTAGTTGTCCACCAGAGCCCCCTTTTTACACAGTTATCAAGTTGTGGCTGGGCGTGTGGCTGCTCAGCTGGATCAGAGACTATTTTTCCAACCCCCCTTGCAGGTAGGTGTTGCCAAAGAACTAAGCCCCCACCTGTGGAGTGTGAACAGAAGTGAGGCATGCCACCTCTGGTTCCCGAACTTAAGATGTTGGTGTGAATTCCTGCACACGCTTTCTGCCTGTGAGCCAGGACAACCCATTTGGCCCTGCAACCCAGCTTGGAACCAGTAGATTGGACCAATGCCCCAGGGAGGATGGAGCACCAGGGCTGGCAAAAAAAATCTGGGTCTCCGAATGAGAGCTGCCCACTCACCTTGATCCCTCTCTGTGAGAGAAATCAACTTCTATTTTGTTTAAAGCCATTCTATCTTGGAGCCTCTTTGTTATAGCAGCCAACCTTCACCTTTCCCTGTATAAGCCCCTCTTGTGCACCAGGCATGTGCACAGTGCTGTCACTTAAGCCCCACGGTGATGCTGTGAGCAGGCAGCACAACCTCATTTTATGGCCCAGGACATGGTTCTGAGCAGGGAAATGACTCACTTACATAGTAGATGTCTCTCAGCCCCTACACTCTATTTTGTAACTCCTTTGCTTGCCATCCCTCATTCATTCATCCAACAATAATGTCTAAAGGGTTCACCTTGTGCCAGGCCCTGAGCTAGTCTCTGGGTGGGGTAAAGTACTAGGGAAGCAGATGTTGTTTCTGGGGGGTTGGGGCTATGGGGCAGAGAGGGCTCCCACGTCCCTAGAACGGCCCTGGTGACATGGATTGCAACTGTTCACACAATTGTCTAGGAGATCCCAGCTAGGTGGGGGCTGTTGTGGATTCATTGTTGTGCCATTCACACACCCTACCTTTGGCTTCTAACAGAGTCCCACCAGCCCCTCTGCTACTCAAAGTGTGATCCTCCAACCAGAAACATCCCCTCCCCTGGGAGCTCGTTAGAAACACAGAATCTTGGGCCCGTCTCCATCCCTGAGGAATCAGAATCTGCATTTTAACAAGACCCCGAAGTGATTTGTATGCACATTAAATTTGGTCCTGCGCAGTGGTTCCTAACCTGGGCTGCAGAGCAGAATACCTGGGGAGCTTTGAAAAGAATCCTGACGTCTGGGCTGGGACCTCAGAGATTCTGTAATTGGTCTAGGTTTGAGCCCGAGCAGTAGAATTTTCCAGTAGCCCCACAGACGATTCTAATGTGAAGCCAGAGTTGAGAACCTGACTCTAAATTATATATATTTATGATGGATGAGTAAAGGAATGACAAAGCCAGCTGCCTGAATGAAAAGCAAAATGTTGACAACCACAGTTTTCTTTGGATTAAAAAGCTCTGAAGTGGAAAAAGAAATTATTTCCAGTGCCTGGGCCCACAGGAATACTAAATTGAAATGTCCTTTATGTCTGGCCGCTGGAGAAAGAAAAACAGGCTGGTCTGTTCTGATCTTTGTCTGCCTGTCCAAGGCTCGGCAACTTTCTCTTGACTTGTGTCTGGTCTACTGAAGGGGTGGGAGGTGGTGGGAATGCTGTTGAGGGTGTGGGATCCAGAGTGTCTGTGACCAGATTCAAATCCCTCACTTCCGCTTACTCCGGCGTGTCATTTAGTCCCTCTGGACTTGCAGTTCTCTGCCCCAGAAGTTGTGATGAATGGAAATGAGGCGTGTAAAGCAGGTAGCAGGCTGTGGCACCTGCAGACACACGATACTATCTTTGTGAGATGAGTGACTGGGCACAGACATAGCCTGCCTGGTCAGTTGAAGGTAACCATATCCTCCTCCTCTTGCTGGATTCTGCGGGAACCTGAGGACATTCTCCACCACATTGGGAGGGCTTTGCCATGACTGCCCAGTTTCTTTAGGATCCTGGAGGGCACAGGAGTTTAGGATCCTGATTCAGCAATCCTGCTACAAATTTGCTGTGTGACCAAACAGCAGTCACTGTCCCTCTCTGTGCTCCAGTTTCCAATGAAGAGGTTGGAACAGAATCAGTATTTATCAAAGCTGAATTAGAACGCCCTGCATCAGAATCCCCCAGGGTGCTTTGTATTTACAAATTGTTAAGTTGTATAGCTAAATACATTACAAATGCAGGTTCTTAGGGCCCCATCACAAAAGCAAATCCCTGGGTTGGGGTCCAGGAATCTGAATTTTGGCAAAACCCGCTGTTGACTCAGAGGCACCTGGATGTTTTTCAGACTCTGGGCCAGATTCTCCCTACAAGGCCTCTTCCGTCGCTGACAGTCTGGGATTTTTCCTTCTGGCTGAAGAGCCTGCGGCAGCTGGCAATAACTAAGTGTTCCAGGCCAGTGACCCAAAGCTCAGGAAGGTGACTGAGAAGGCTCCGTGGGTCCTCTCTCTGCCCCTGGTGCTGGCGTTTGGCTATTCAGGGCACGCACCAGCCACTTCCTTCCTGCGGCCTGGCCCTGCCATGCTGGCCACCTCCCCGCACTGCAGCAAGCGCTCTCTCTGCCCAGTCACCCCCTGCATTGCGCTCTGCTCCGCATCCTTAAACCAACCTCCCAGCCCTGGTCCCAGAGAAATGCCCGATTAGCAGCCAGCGGAGGGGCAGCAGGGATTTGTGGGGCTCCAGCTCAGGAAATTATTCCCAGGCCAGTCAATATTTGAAGAAAAATAGACAGAAAGGGAAAAAAAAGTTACTTTTTCTCTCTGAGGAAGTTTCCATCGTGGGTGTTTTGTGTGTGTGTGTGTGTGTGTGTATGTGTGTGTGTGTGTTTTACAATAAATATTTGATTTTTAGAAAGGGAGGGAGAGGGAGAGAGAGAGAAACATCGATGTGAGAGCAAAATATCAATCGGCTGCCTCAGGGGATTGAGCCCGAAACCCAGGCATATGCCCTGACCAGGAATGGAACTGGCAACCTTTCCGTGTATGGGACGACACCCAACCAACTGAGCCACACCGGCCAGGGCTCTGGTTGTCTTTCGGAGGTGAGGCGAACAACTCATCCTGGATTGCCCAGAACTTTCTGGATTTGAGCGCGGAAAGTCCCAGGTCACCAGAACCCCGTCAGTCCTGGGCAAACCAAAATGGCTGGTCACCCTCTTGGGGGGGTCTTGCCACCAGCAGGAGTGAGGTGTGCTCTGAAGGAGAACGTGAGTGAAGGAGAACGTGAGTCAGCCTGAGAAGGCTGGAGGTGTGAGCGATGCAACCACGTGGGCGATTCTCACAGACAGGATGTAGGGCAAGACAAGCCAGATGTATATCTCCATTTATGTGAAGTTCAAGGACAGGCAAACCTCATCTAGGGTGGGCAGCATCACCCAAACAGTAGCTGCCTCTGGGTGGGTAGCGATTGACTGTGAAGGAACATGAGAGAATTTTCTGGGGTGATGGGGCCACTCAATTGTTAAGTTGTACAGCTAAATACATTGTGTTTTTAATGCATATACATTTTACTTATAAAGCTGTAAAATAATAACATGAATGATAGTAAGCAACTGGGAGTAGGGAGGGGATGGAGAGAAAGAGAACAAGAGTGGAGATGTGTTGCTGGTCAGTGTGGCTCAGTGGTTGAACATCAACTTATGAACCAGGAGGTCATTTAGATTCCCAGTTAGGGCCCATGCGCAGGTTGCAGGCACGGTCCCCAGTAGGGGGCGTGCAGAGGCATCCAATCAATGATTCTCTCTCATCATTGATGTTTCTCTCTTTCCCTCTCCCTTCCTCTCTCTGAAATCAATAAAAACATTTTTTTAAAAAAAGAATGGCAGATGTGGACAATTGTGGAAGCTGAGTTATGGATACTTGGGTGCATTATATTATTCTGTTTACTTTGCAAACGCCTAAAATTTCCCATCATGAAAAGTTTTAAAAACCCCAAACTGGGTCAGAAATCAAAACTACAATGAGACACTTACCACTCCACACTCAGTAGGATGGCTAGGATTCTAAAGACAAAATAGAACAAGTATTGGAGAGGATGGAGAAAGTAGAACCCCAAACATTGCTGGTGGGAATGTAAAATGGTACAGCTGCTGTGGAAAACAGACTGGTGGTTCCTCAAAAGGTTAAGCATGCATTTGCTCTCTGGCCCAGCCATTCCACGCCTAGGTATATACTGGGAGGAATTGAAAAGAGGCATCCGCACCAAAACTTGTACCTGAACATCCATAGCAGCATTATTCATAACAACCCCAAAGTGGAAACAACCTAAAGGCCCATCAACAAAAGAACGAATAAACAACATTTGGTGTAATCCATGCAACGGAATATTATTCAGCCATAAAAAAGGACGAAGTGCTGATCATGCTTTAACTTGATGAACCTTGAAACCCTCATGCTCAGTGTAAGAAGCCAGACACAAAAGGCCAGATATTGGTTGTATGGTTCTATTCATAGTAAATGTCCAGAAAAGGCAAATCCATGGAGACACAAAGTATGTTTGTGGTTGCCGAGGCCTGGGGGGTGCGAGG